TTCAGGCATGGCTGCTTTGAGAGCCACGCGAATAAAAATGACACTTTCCTCAGCAAGGCGTTCTCTGAGTAGAAGAAATGGAATGTATGGACCAGCTGCTCCACAGAACTCTCTCTCTCTCTCTCTCTCTCTCTCTCTCTCTCTCTCTCTCTCTCTCTCTCAGAACTGTGAAAATGCCCAGTAACAGTGCAACATGTGAACAGGGTATGGGTTGATTCCAGTGTTCATCTAATTAAAGTCCGATTGCTTTCCATGTGTCTACGCTTGCTAGGATTAATCTCAGAGATAACCACGTGCCTGTCTCCTAGACCTTGCTATTCCTGCAGGGTCCTTAGCATACCACTTGGAGAGTCTGTGTGCAGGACCCCTTACCCAAGAAGTCAGCCAATAAAACATAATATGCAAACTACCTTGCAATCACAGCCAATGGGCTTTTTACATTCCTCACAGTTATTGGAGTACAGGCTCTCGTAGCACTTGATGCAGTAGGGACTGTCTTCCCTCAGGATGTACTTCTTGCCAAACAGAGTCTCTTTGCAGTAGTGGCAGTCAAAGCGTTCGGTCATTTTGACATCGAGGACTTAGAAGGCCTGCCTACAAGAAAACAAGCAGCTCCGGTTAAAGTGGTGTTAACTTTGAGCTACAGGGTGGAAAGCATATTATGAGCATGATGCTTCTTGTGTAAGCTCTTCTTCTGTATTTTGTTTATTTATACCAATTGTTGTATTATGCATTCATAATATGTATGGCTTAATAAAAAAATCTCTAGGCATTTTAACGCAATTTCCCCTAATACAAACATTTCTGTATGCAGATCAAAGAACTGCATTACAAAATTCAAAAAGTGCAAAAAATGGAATGATAATTGTGTTCCAGTTTGTGTATTTGTTCAGGAAGAGTGAATGAGGTCAATTTGCATTAAATTGCACACCAAATTTATTCCCCATCCAATGACGCTTGCAGGTGGCAGTTTGTCTGAGGTTACACACTGAGAGTCACTTTTACGGTTCAGATCTATCAGTCTCCTCCTGACACCACTCAAGATCTCAATTTGGTCTTTAATATCAGATTGATAGCATCATCATTTGGGAAGCACTGGTGCATTTACTGTTGTGACTCAACAAAAGAAGGAAATACTTGATAGGTACTCTCTTTTTCCTGTAATTTAAGCCCTAGTCAAGTGTTCAAAAACCGTAAGTGCACATGAGGGGACGCATGTGTGGTTCTGATAGCACAAAGCATTGCATTCAGTTGAGTGTGACTACTCTAAAACTTCATCAGCTCCCAAATGTTAGAGGAAGAATTGTGGGAAGGGTATGGGTGTCCTCTCCATGCTAATGATTTTGACTCACTCTTTCTTTCTGACTCACACCCAAACAGAAGTCTGATTCAGCAAAACATTTCTTATGAGAGTGAGATTTAATGCTCACTTGGTTCTCATAAAATTACAGTCCAAGGTATGAGTTGACTATAGGTTGTCACTGAATTGTGGATTGTTTTTAAGTGCAAACCCTGCACTATGATTTAAATATGGGTTGTTCACAGTAAGTAACTGAGTAAGAAAATCCATGGACTGGTTTTGCACAATCGGGGAAGGAAAAGAAGAGACCATCACCAATTTTCCTGCTCTGTGTGTGCTGGTAGTATGACACCAAACTATTATTGCTACTGTTACTGCTCATACTGCTGCTGCTACTACTACATTATGTAAACTCTGCCTTCTTTCTCTGGCAAAGAATGCAAGGTGGCTTACAATATTCTCCTCTCCATTTATCCTCACAGCAACAACCCTGAGGGCAGGTTAAGTGGAGAGTCCATGACTGGGCCAAAGGCATCCAGTGAGTTTCGTGACTGAGTTGGAATGAGAATCCAGATCTCCTGATTCCCAGGCCAGTACTCTTAATCATTACGCCATGTTGGTTCTCCTTTACCTTAATTACTCTAGCCAGACACAGCAAAGCAGGAGGTAGGTGGGTCTACCTGGTTTATTCTACCTGTCTCCCATCCTTGCTAAGTTTGGAGAATATAAAATACTGCACCCATCGAGAACAATCATGGTAATTTGGCAGCACGCCACTGGCATACTTGGGATGGTGGAAAACTGTTATTTTCCTTCCCCTGTTGTGTGGTAATGCCCATGGTTTCTTGTTGGGTTGTATGTTAACCATAGTTAAAACATTGTGTGGGGTTTACCCATAATGCTTCAATGACCAGATTTAAACCATAGTTTAGGTTCTCATGAGAACCTCGGAATCTAAGCCCAGGCAAATACACCCCATGTTGATCATTATTTCTCAACCATTCAAGTTGACGTTGAATTGCAGAATCCAGTTTGGGGACTAAAATTGAGTGTGGGAGCAGGGCATTTGAAAGGGAGAGTCATGGGAGGTAGTTGTGCTAGGCAGCTTTTTGCACATGCAGAGCCTTTACTGCAAATGCCCTTCAACCCAGAAACAGCAAGCAAACAGGCATGGGAGCCAGAGATCCCCCGTACAGCTTCTACCTTGACTCTTAGGCAATGTCAATATCTGAATCTTACCAGCAAGCTCATACCTAATAGTTTATGCCACGTGGAGATTCTACTCTGTCAGCCCAGGAAACCCCAACGCTCTCCACAGGTCCATCAGCACTCTCCCTGCATCTCTAATCGGTCACCAGCACAGGAAGGAAGAGAGCAGAGAACAGTTCCTGTGTATTACCACTGTCAGAAGGGATGATTAAGCCAAAGGTTCAGCACTCACTTCCTGGCACTTAGCCATCCTGTAAAAAGTCTTTGGCAGCCGCCTGAAAGGATGTCTGGAACATTATCTTGTCTCTCAAAACTAACGTATGACTCAACCAATCATGTCGCCACACCTTTGCCCCCTTCCATCCCGTTTTTCCAGTGATCATTCCAGCTGACAGTCCCCTTGGACTTGGGAGCTGTTCCTGGGTGCCCAAGCAACACTTTGGAGAAGCCACTGCTTGCTTGCTACTCCTGCCCTTTTGCGAAAGAAACCAGTGAAAGAAAATGGCACAGATAGGTTTGTGATCGCTTAAAAAGAGAGAGAGAGAGAGAGAGAGAGAGCCGGCCTTGTGCAAGTGCAGATGAGAGGTGTGCCCCCTTGGGCATCCAAAGTGAGAAGCCGTGCCTGGGCAATGTCCTGGCGGGGGAGCCATCCGCCGTTGAGCTGTAGCAAAACCATCTACAGGCACTGACTCGGAGAGGCTGCAAAAGTCCTGTACACTTTTGTACAAACAGAGTACAAAAAGTGGTCTTCAAAAGCAAACAGGGAAAGGGGGGAAAGCAGTGAATGCAAAAGAGCCCTTGGAATACCTGATGAAGGACTTGGGTGGGCAGGGAAGATCTGGGGGAAACTGTCTGATGTATATTGTGTAAGCTTATTTGCAGGGTGGGTTGCTGGCTTGTGCAAACCCACCCACTGTCTCACGGCTTAACCTGTTTTACAAGGCTATTATGAAGATTAAAAGGCAGAGAGGTGGATGACCTAAGGTCCTGGGAAGGCATTGTACAAATCTGATAAAAAACATAATTCAAGAAAGCTGTTTATGCAACTATCTCTTTACTTAAAGTGTTATGTAAAGCAGCCTTCATTTACTGGTGCAACTCCATGCATTCCTCACCAGCTGGGGCCGATAGTAGTTGTAGAGCAAAACATCTGGAGGGCCAGATGTTACCTAGCCTTGGCCTACTATGTAGTTGTAAATAGGAACTCAATTTTCCCTCTCATATTTTTTCAAGCACACACACACTCTCTCTCTCTCTTTAAGACATGCCTGGGACTTAGGTTAGTGCCCATGCACAATCTTTCTTTTTCTCTTTGTTTTCTTTCATGAGAGAATGGAAGATTTGTATCTGCAACATCTGCAGGCATAAATTCATGTGAGAAGTAGTGTTTGGAAAGCATTTTTGTTATTGTTTCAAAAGCTGTAAAATTTACAGTGTCTTTTTTTTGTACATGGGAGCACTTTGGACTATCAGGATCATATTTCAGGCCCCTACCAGTAGCTGGCAGATATGCTACTGAGAGTTGCTTCAGGAGAACTTGATGTCCTTTTTCCAGGAACTCTCCTCTTTTTTCTAAACAAAATTACACATCCATACAAACAGGAAGGGGATTAAGATGCTGGACAAAGGGATGCTTTTGACAGGAAAAGGCAGCATATAAGGTAGTTAGCAGTGTCCAGATATAAATATGTACACCTCGTGAAGAACTTCCACAGCACCCTTCAATAATCATACGTTTCCTTTTAAATATTTATTGATTGGCTTGATTTATGCCACCCAAATGACAGATGCCCGTGGGGGGGTCACAATCATAACAGTCCCCATCAAACAACAATAAACTGACAATCAAAACAATAAATAAAATAATGAAAACATCAAAATATGCTAAGTATGCAAACTATCAAAGATCCAGCAACAAAGCTAATAATCAGAAGACTGGATGCAGAGTTACAAGCTTTCCAAAGAGAAAGATCGTAATCTGGTCTCTCCATGAATGCGACAAAGTTGCCAGGTACAAGGGTGGAAGGTTATTCCACAGATGGAGCCAACAAATAGAAGACTTTTTTCCATGGGAACCCCCATTGTGCTTATGTTCTCTTTAATGTTTCATATCATGGAAACCCAGAACTGCATATTTGACCACACAGGGGTGTTGTTTTGGGGGATAAAATGGAAAGGAGGAGAACTTTATAAGTTGCCTTGGGTTCCTTCCAAGAGGAAGAAAGGTGGAGCAAACATGTAATACAACAACTTCACTAGGTAAGAATACAAGAAACTGCCTTATGCCAGGTCAGATAATTTGCCCGTTTGGCCTAGGGTGGCCACTTATGAACTGGCATGAAAAAGTAGGAGGAAATGCCTCACCAAAAGAGACTAATGTGCTCAATACTTGCATGTATTTGTACAGTCACAAAGTCATGCCCGACCCATCACCCCACCACGACCCCATGAACAATGTTCCTGCAGGCTCGCCTGTCCTCCACCATCCCTCAGAGTCCACCCAAGCCCACACCCACCGCCCCAGTGACTCCATCTAGCAACATTTGCATGGACTCATGGTTTAACCATTGTGTGGAAGTCTGGGACCAGGGGATCACATGCCTGCTCTTAAGATTCTTTATCTGAGCTTGGATTGCAGAGATCTTCCAAAACAGAAGGGCTTTGAGTGCAGCATGGACCTGTGCCAGCCCTCCAGGGAGGACTATCTTCTGTATGTAGTCATCCTATGACTGGCAACTGTTCTCCAAGGGCTGAGACAGAAATGGGTCACTTGCAACCCCAGAACCGGCTGCTTAATGGGTGATGCCAAGGACTGAATGCTCTGCATGCCAAACATTTGCCCTACCATTGAGCTATACTTCCACATGGACATAGTTCTGCTCCAGGTCCTTGGGGAGAGGAATTTTTCACTCTGGTAACAGTGGCCTTCTTGTTTCCTTACGTCTTCTGTTTGGGAGCTCTGCTCACTGAAGATGGAACCACAAGCTACAAAGGAAATAGGAGTTGTTCTCCCTGTGTTTGGCTCACAATATTAATGCAAGAGTAGGGATGCAAATATGAAAACCAGTGGGCAAGAGGAAGGTGCTTAGTGATTTCATCTGATCCACTCCTGCAAATAATACAAGTCCTTTTCAAATTTTATTCTGCCAATCTGACTCAAAAACCAGGTGGGGAGATGTACTTTGCACGAGGAACATCAGTTGGTGCACGACATGTGAGCACGGCACTTTTCCTTTCCTCCATGAATGTCCCTTGCAGCGCAGCCCTTAGTGTGTTCAGACTCAAAAGAGTCCTTCACCTCCAGCATGCCCTCATCAGCATCAATGGCTGCAGAGAGGTTGTGACCTGTAGGCATTTTTCAAGGGAACATATGCACCCTCTGCATCATGCTACTTTATCAGACATGAGCCTCAGGACATGCATTTACTGAAATAATGTACAATTCTTTAGGTACCACATGCTGGTCCTGCATCAGAAGGAAAAAGAGTTTGCTTCTACTGGCTTTTCCTGCCACAGTGAATGACTGCCTGCAAGGAACCCTCTTAACTAGGATGAGCCCATTTCTTTGAACATAATTCCATTTTTAATTAAAAAATATACAACTACTTAGTACACACAGCTATTCAGCACAATTGATTCCTAATCAATTTTTTAATAATCAATGACCCTTCTGGTTTGTGTATGTCAGTTAAAAACTTAGATCTCCTGAAGTGAGTTCCCTATCATGCCAACAATCGGCAAAGATAATTGTTTCACCCATTTCAGAAGGGGGTGATTGGAAGAACCGAGCAACTGAAGGATTTGGATTTCACCCAGGGATTCACAAGATCCTGGGCTGTCTTGAGAAAAGTGAATTAAATAATACTGTTGCTAGGGAATATCGAAAGTCAAATTTGGGGGAAAGTTTCTTTTGTGCTTGGCTAAGAAACAGAAACCACAGTTATAAGAAGTCGAAAGGAATGCTCCAGATTTTGTGGTTTGCTGCATTTGGCCACTAACCAATACTTATGTTGGTGTAGAGTTTTACAGTCATTAGTTGTAAAAATATGTAAGTATTAAGTATGCATGACTTGGAAGGTGCGAATCCTGACCACTGGCTGCCCGGTCAATGCAAAATTGTTAGTCAATGACGACAATGTGCAATTATTTGTCCAGATATGTTGAAAATATTTATAAAATAACATCAGTTTGTTCACCAGAACTCTCTCTCTCTCTTTCACACACACACAAACACACACAGCAGCTGAGATAGATCGGGTTAATTTACTGGAAATATTATTATTATGTTAAAACAGCAGCAACACAGACAGAACCGTCTAAGGCTGAGTGATGATCCCATGTAGGAATTAAAGGTGTATTAAAGGTGATTTCCCTGTCACCCTTCAGATGTGTCAGCCTACAACATCCATAATTCCTAGGGAGAAAGGTGATGCTAGGAATTATGGGAGTCCCAGTCCAACACACCTGCAGACCTGGCTGGGAAGGCCACATTAATGACAGAGCCAGGCTAACTGTGAGTGTTGTTTCTTAAGATAAATATTTGGAGGGAAAGCAGACACTAAGAGCACAGAGGATTTTTGTCTATGAGGATGCCAAGTCTCATTCATCAGGGAGGTTTTTAGAAAGACCCAATACTCCTCCTTCCTCTTTCCATCCTAGGAAGGCAGACATGAAATGCAGAGGCACCTCTCAAATGCTTATTTGGGCACTGTCAGAGACCTGTCAGCAGTACATGGCAGAAAAACAGGATTTTAAGTGCTGCTAGCCATATCCTGCCTGCCCTCTTGGTGAACTTGTAGGGAGTACGGCTGTTTCTGTCAGTTCGTGGAATTCAGTTTGACCGTTGAGTGTACACCAAGCCGCACTGGGGAATTTCACCCGGGGGATGTCCAGAACGCACCCTCGCTGCCTGATCCATGGCAAATCTCCAGCCACAGCTTTGCTCGGACACAGCAGGCACTGGCATTGCTTGTGGGCTTGGTTCAACACCGCTGCTCTGGTTACATGCAGCCGCCTCCAGCTTATGGCAGCCCTATGAATGAATGAAGACTAAACATGAGATGGATTGAGCCCACAAAGGAAGCCACAGCCTTGGATTTAGAACACCTACGCAGGGCTGCCCCAGGTAGGATATGTTGGAGGACTTTCATCCATAGGGTCACCATAAGCTGGAGAAGACTTGACAGCACATGAAAGAACGCTCTTCAGACTGTCCTGTCCTTGGCAGCCATCAAGGCTGTGGCTTCCTTGGCCCAGCACTTGTGGGTGTCAGTGTTGCCAGAACTGTTGTTTTTCATGTGTGTGTGATTTAAAAAGTAGGATGAGCCCAGACTCCAAAAGTTTCACTAGATTGCCTCTGTCCTGGAAAATGAGTTCCTTTTCGTATATGCAGTAGATCGTGATTTCCCCAGTCTCAAAGTAGACATACTGAACCTTAAGTCAGACAGTCCTTCCATACCATCTCTGAAAATGCATCCTCCTGTTCATTTGTCGTTTTGCAAAAGGAGAAACCACTTACTTTTTAATGTGATAAGTAGCGGAATGGGCAGAGGAAAGAATATGTGGAAAGTGACTGCATCCGCACTGTTGTTCTGCACGACCATTATCCGAATAGCTGGCCATGCTGGCTGAGCAAACGGGAGGTGTAGCCCAACACGTCTGAAGAGCACCAGGCTGGTTGCTGGATGCGCACCCACCGAAGTTCGCTGAGCTCACAGGGTGCTAAAGGGCACCGGTACTCAATTCTTATTGGTTTAAGCAGGACTTCATATCCTTTTGCTCCATTGCATCCTGACTCCCTCTGTTCTCTTACGTATGCCTAGCATTTGTCGCCTTTCATACATGAATCCCTTGTAATTTTAACAGATGGCAATATGGAAACTCTTCCATCTAGATTAAATCATATGTTTGTGTTAACAAGCCCTGGAAAGTACACGAACCAGCCAGGAAAATGCTAGGAGTTGTAGGGTTTTTTCCTGCCTAAATATGCATAAGATTCTATACCAAGACATTCAAAGCTGCCTTGGAGGCCGGCTTAGGTAGAAACCTCGGATATCCGTATTAATAAATAAATAACACTGTTGCCAAGACGTGAGTGTTGAACTGACTTGAAGGTATTTTCTCAGTTACAAATACTGAGAACCATTACAGATATTAAACACCGAAGCGGAAGGAAGCCACATTTGTAAGTTCTATGTAAACATCTTGAAATCAAGGCACGATTTAGAGCACTACCTTTCTTGTTATGCATAAACGGCGTGTGTGAAAGAGAAAGAGGCAGGGAAGGCAGGGGGGTGGCACGGCAGAGTCAGCGAGAAAATGCACAGAGGCGAGGCTACCTTTGTTTTCTGGGTTTCCTCTACTGTAAAATTTAATGCTCTCCTTTGTTACTGTAGGAAGCAGGAAGCGTCCAGGGAGGTGCAAAGAAAGCGCCCTCTTCCCTGAGGATTATCCATCATGGCATTGTGTAGCCTCGATGCGAACTGACACAATGCCATCTCCCGCCTCGCTCACACATTACCTTCAGACCCAGCACGGTCTTCCCTAGGGGCAAACCTCGCGCATCTCGACCCAGCCTCTTTCTGCCGCCCATCGTCGCAGGCGAAGGGGGCGCATCTTAGAGGCACTCGGGTCTGCCGCTTTCTCCTCTTCCTACGCGAGCCAGACCTCACACCCTGTCCTGCAACACCGCCTTTTGTCCGTCAGCCAGCGCAAAGTCTCCACCGGGTCGCTGCTGCTCCTCGGGCGCCCACAGGGGATGTCTACTTACAGGCAGGTCGTTATTTGTCCCCGCTGGAGTTGGGATGGGGAGCCACATCCATTAATGAGCGGCTGGCACGGGGACCGGCCGGCGGGAAGAGGAGGCGCGCAGCGGCCGGGGACTCCTCCGCTCGCGCCGAGCAGGCAGCTCCGCGATCGCCGCGCGGCGTCTGGGTCGTGTGGAAGCAGCGTCCGCCTTCGCAGCCCGGCGAACACCCCCCCCCGTGTCTCGTTTTACCATATAAGGAGACAAAAGCGCCAGAGACACTCGCTCGTCGCGGCTCGCGCTGCCGGCGGCCGGGCGCGCGTGCGGGGAGCGGATCCTTCCCGCACCCCCCGCCTCGCTCTGCTGGCTTCCCGGGCCGGGGCGCGCGCACGTGTGCCACCGCTCCACACCTTCGCTGGACGGCGCGCGTGTGCTCGCCTCGCCGTCGCCGCTGCTGGCTTAGGGTCTGCAGCAAGCCTCCGTCAGGCTGGAGGCCAGAGGGTGGGCTAGACTGGGAAGCGGGCGGTGGGACTGGTGGGACTGGGACTGGCGGAGAGCTGGGTTCCAGTGGCCAGCCAGCCATGAAACTTTCCGGGAAACTTGGAGCCAGTCACGGATTCTCCGCCTAACCTCCCACACCAGGTTGTTATGAGGATGGAAGAGAGAGGAGGAGGAGGAGGACTCTCTCCTTCTGCAAGGATCAGGTGGGATATCCATGTCATAAGTACATAAATGAATTCCAGGCAGTGCCACCCAAGCTAAGCAATGACTGCCCACACCAGAAAAACCTTCCGGCGTTTAAATACATACTTACACAGGCAGACGGACCAATGGACAGGCACACCTTCCTGCTGATCTGGTGCCTTCTCACCCGGGTAGGTTCATAAATGAGGCAATTAAGATGATGTTATCAGTCAGTGCTTTCTGCACTGCCTGCCATCTGTGGCAACTAGAGCAAGCTTGCTCAGGCGCCTGACGTTTCCAGCTATATAGGAGGCACCCTTATACACTGAGTCAGAAGATAGGTCTACCTGGCTCAGTATTGTCTTCACTGATTGGGAGGGGTTCTGAGCCACGTCTTCCCGCATCTGCCACCTGGACATGCCAGGCATTGAACCAGGGACTTTCCGCGTGCAAAGCAGGGGTGCTGCCAAGGGAGCTACTTCAGGGAGCACCGCGGGGCAATTCACAGAGTGCCAGTGTGGTTAAGAGCATGGGACTGGGACTCAGGTGATCCGGGTTCGAGTCCCCACTCGGCCATGGAACCAACGGGGTGACTTTGGGCCAGTCGCAGACTCTCAGCCCAACCTACCTCACAGGGTTGTTGTTGTGGGGATAAGATGGAGGGGGAGAATGATGTAAGTTGCCTTGAGCCCTTTGTAGGAAAAGGGCAGGATATAAATCGCAAAACAAACAAATAAATAAATAAATGGTAAAAGTTACAAAAAGTTTAAGTAAATAAATAAGTACTAGCCAGTGGTCTCGGGCCAAGACGAGTACCACAGCAAAGCTGTTTCATTATCAAGCCTTCCAGCCAATGAATGCTGGGAACTGAGTCCTGTGAAGCATTCACGGTATCATCACAACATTGCGTGTGTGCAAATAGAAGGTGTGCTAAACAAGCTGGGTTGCGTTCAGATTTAAGTAGAGTAGAACTGCTGAAATCAACAGGATTTAAATCATTCATGACGAGCCTAAGTTCAATTGATTCCAGTAGGTCTGCTCTAGGTATGGCTATGACTCTAAGCCCTTGCATACCCTTTCTTGCTGCTGGGGTGAATTTAGAACCCCAGCAGAAAGTGCCTGAGGCTATAAAAATGCTAAATCCTAAAAACCTTTGCTCTGGGTGAAATTTTCTCTCATGAGGTTGCAATCAGCATTAAAATGTCTTTCAGCTTCAGCAAGCAGAGGTAATTTCTGTTTTAATGCTTCCTGAGGCTATGCAAACTGAGAAAATCTACATAACAGTGGCAGATACATCAACTCCTTTCTGCATAATAATAGTTTTGCGTGTAAAAATCATTTTCATTCTACTTGCTGGAAGGTTTGACTTTAAAAGGAGACCAAGATCTGAACTGTGCCTTTTGCAGGGCCTTTGTTCAGGGTCACAGTCACACTGCCCAACTATTCCTTGGGAGCTTCTGGGGTGAATTTGACACCCCAGGCATTTTTCTTTTATCAAAAACAAAACAAAAGTGCAAAATATAGGAAGCTGAAATTTGGACACATTTTAGACCAGGTACTTTATGACAACATCATAAAATAACAAGTTGAAAGGACTGTTTATGTGTAAATTACAGTAAAATGTTTGCATCTGGGGCACTAGGGTCACCCCACAATGCAGCTCTTTGTAACCCTGAAACAAGTCAATCATCTGACCTTTTTATGAGAGCCAAACTAGATATGACCTGAGGGTTGGGAAGAGGCTGGTTGATTCTTTCCTTCTTGCCATTGTACACTAAAAATCCCTTCAGATGTGTTACCACAGATAAAGATAGGGAACTCTTTCATTTTCCATGCATGGTGAAAACTGTCCATTGAAGGAGAGGGGTATTTGCAGATTTGTAGAAAACCAACACCAGGAGTGGGTCACATTAAAAAGTTCTTCCACTTTACGGTATGTTGTTATAACTTCAGAATTTACTGCCTCAAGATGGAGTGATACTCACCATCGTGGAAAGCTTTAAAAAGGAATTAGACAGATCCATGGAAGAGAAGGCTTTCAGTGGCTATGAGTCAGGGCTGCCTCCAGATCCAGATTTTTCCATGGTGTGTAACCATGGAAGCAGACAGGCCCTCCAACTCTCTGCAACCAATACCCTGAGGATCAGGGGCCCCAGCTGAATGGGGTGAGTTGTGTTGCAAGGGGTAAGGGGAATGCCTCCTTGGAGCAGGACTCTTCCATGCCCAGCAGAATGGAAGCGGGGTGGGCGCTCATTGTTCCCAACCCTGGCTGTCACGATTTTAACCTATCAGCAGAATTACAATTGACTCACACCCTAGAGGGAGTGTTGCACTTTATCTGTGTACCACCTGCTACATTCTGCCCATAGGGCAAAACCAGTGCTGGGGACCTGGGTCAAGTGACTTGCGCCCAGGCTTGACTCAAGTCATGTCAGTGGCTTGACTCAGACTCAGCTCTGGAGCAATGAGTGAGTGACTGGAGGTGTCGACATTTTTTATGACCGAGTCCCTCCAGGGCTTGCTGTGCAGAAGGATAACCTGGAAGGCAAGTACAAACCCAGCACATGTGGTGGGAGGAAGGGAGTTTCAGGGGATGGGGCAGGATGGGGAGGAGGGGGTTGCAAAGGGGGAAGGGAAGGCTTCGGCTCCTCATTTTGGCTTGGGGGAGGTGGTGGGAGGGAGGGGCAAGGGGAAGGGGGTTGGCTCTTGGGAATGAAGAGGGGTCTTGAGACTTGGCTCGAACATTTCTTGCAATGACTTGAGACTCGACTTGGACTTGAAAGTAGAGACTTGAGACTTGGCTCGAGACTCGAAGGAAAGGGCTTGAGCACATCACGGGTCAAGACACAGGTCATCTGTTATGAACTTTGTGGTAAGCACCTTTTTATCAACTTATTTTTGTTTTTTAATCCATCTTGTAATTATAACTAAAATGCTTTTACAGTGAATCCTTTTAAAAATGAGAGGCATAGCCCTAAAACATCAAGATACTACAATATTCATTTCACCACCACCACCACCACCACCACCACCCTACGCCTTCTTTATGGTCACTGCTAAAATGGGCGTGTGGGTTCACAAAGTAACTCTCCTTTGTCTTGGGGATGGTGGTGGGGAACAAGCCAGCAGTAACAGATGGCAAGTGGGACAGGAAGATGCAGATGTGGGGGGGAGGTACTTAACCCTTTTTTTGCCACTTGTTTTTATCACTCAAAATCTCTCCCTTCCTAGCACCTCCTTGCTTTTTTCATAGGGTTCAGAACTCCATTAAATAATTGCTCACATGGACAAAGGTTCTGGGACAAGCAGTTGAGCAGAAGAACAATCTAAGGTGAAAAAGTTAACAGATCTTCTGTACATTTGTGGCTGCTTTTATTTTATTATTATTTTAAACTGTTAGCAGGAAGTTACACATGAGCATGTTGTTTGACCCGTGAATTGCTTGTGTGTCTGTGCGACTGGGTTCAAACATCATGGCAAGCTACTCTGCATGGTTTCCATGGTGCACAATGATGACAGATGACCACATGGTTTCTATGCTAGCATGCTTTCAACCCTCTTTGGTCGGTCCTTCCACTGTTGGCACTTATCCCTTTAGCCACTATGTCTGAAATTCAATCCCACACTGGCTGACTGGAGCAGCACTTGCCGCTGTTGCTTTTTCCAGGGGACTGTGGTAGCTGCATACCAGGACTGTGGAAGCCACGATGCCAGAGAAACCACGGTGAAGCATGGAAACCATAGAAGAAACCATTGTCCTTTATTGTGGTTTCTAAAGTCCAAACATATCATGCTGAAATACCATGGCAGGGCTCGGACAAGACAGCAGATCATCCTGTGCAGGAAATCATCGGGGCTGGTTGTGTTGTATGAACCTGCCCTGTGCAAGAGTTTGTGTGGGAACACTTCCCACAATGCCTGAGGCATCTTGGCAACCTACCTGAAAGGGAAGGGGGCCAACAAAGGACTTGCCATGTTAGGGTGTGTGTGTGTGTGAAAGAGAGAGAGAAAGAGAGAGGAGAGAGCATACTGCCCAACAGCCAAAGCTTCCTGGGTGGTTTGCAACAGCTTCAATTTAGTGCGCATACATGGGCCAAAACATAAGTGGCTGCAGATAATCTCATTATTTAATATGGAGTAACTATGTGGAGCCCCAATCTGAATCAGAACCACTGCACTCCAGGAAGGGAGGGTTAAACCTTCCCCCAGTATCCTTCCTGAACACCGTCTCCATGTGAGGGCAGAGCTTAAAAAAAGAAACCCAAGTAGTTTGGGCTTTTTAACACCTGCATACATGCCCGGTGGAGGGATTCTAGGTGAAAAACGATGGGGAGAGAAGATTCATCCTTTTCTTCCCATGCGTAGTGATCCTATTCTGAATTGGGGCCCCACACCTGCACTTACTGTTGAGTTAATAAATTAAATAACTAACATCCTCAGCTGTATGCAATGAACATAATGTGTAGTTTGACCAAGGGGAAGCCAGACGAAGAGTA